TCGTTCCTTCATCAGTGACGAAGTTTCCAGAAGCGTCCGTTGGTAACGGTGATCCATCTGGCCGCTTCAGCAGTACTGGTGGTTCTGCAATTAAATTCATTAACATAACACGTGTTAGCACTCACTGTTCTGCTGCTCTAGTTTCTGGAGAGTGTATAGATTCCCTTCAAAAAGCTGATTGTTATTTTTAGCATGCTCGAAAATTGTGCATACTACCGATACCTAACATGTCTAGCTGTAACATTAGGCTACTCGAATAGGAGCAATTTTCTATATTTTTCATAATAGTTTTCCTTTTGCTTCCGATGATGTTCCTTTTGCCGGTGTACTTACGTAAAAGCTTGACTGATTTTTTTTTCAAAGTGTCCGTGAATGGGCAAGACTCTTATGCGGGCTTATTTTTGTGGCAACATCGTAGCCTCAAACCAACCCTCGGAATCCTTTCTTCCGATATGCATGATCGAGACCCACTAATCATAGATTCTATTGTTTATTGTTTACGTTCGTTACGTTGCTAATGAAAGCGCTCTGTCTACAGTATTCGTACGCCATGTTTTTCTTTAATGTTACGGGGCTCCTCTCACACAAGACTGCGTTTCATAAACGCAGGTCCTTGAAACGGCATATCATGAAACTTTCATACTTTTTCTGAATCAATATTCCGTACTTTTGTATTTACTTCTCTGTGGATATCGTTGAGCTTTCATGGTCGATCTCAGATCGATCTCATTGTGAGAAATTTATCATTCTACCTTCTTCGTCGTTGGATAATGACATTGAAAAAGAACGGGCATACACTTATGGTTTAGTTGAATAAAAAAATGTAGGTTGCGTAATAGATACGCCTTGTGTCACTATTATGAATACCGTTTCCCAGCCAGCTTCCACTGTAAACGATATTGGTAACATTGCCCACGTCGATTGCGTCGAAAATTCCATACATATGTTGCATGCGCATCCATGAAATACTGTCTGGTGTTGAGAGCTGGGTTTTGCTCTAATACTACATATCAGGCCCATGCGACATATTGTCTGCAGATTGACGCACCAGCATACCAACATAACTTCACTCGTGGTTAACAAGAACTTGACGAATCTATCACATATGGGACCAACACTTTAGGCTAAGACGTTGCAGTGTTATAATAAAGATTTCGTTGCCGCTCGTCTCTATAAAAGACACCAGTGTGGTGGAACAGTAGAAACGAGTCTGAAATTGGTGTCAGTCACGATGCTCAGTCCAGGCCGCTACTGAACTGCAACCAGTATCAGTGCGGTGGTGGCAGCATTTGAAGTGAAAAACCCTGTACTGCATGTGCTGGTGCACACTCACAGTACAGGGTTGTTCACTTCAATTCGTAGACGTCGCAAATTCTTTGTGAGCAAAAAGGTTTGTTGCCCACGAGCCTAACCTCTTTCCTCCCTCAGTTTGCTGCGATCCGATAGTTGAGTCGTCCATAGGATAAGGATTCAGCACGACAGTAAAAAGTCAGAAGAACGGTTGATGTATAAGAACTAGGTGATATTCCCCAATTTGAACTGCTTTGTGGGTAATGATGGTAATGAATTACTAGAAGAGTGCGATATGATCTCTTGACACTAATAGGTGAGTGTGGAATTGTTTCCATTCTGAGCTTCTCTAGATCCTAGGGGTTTGACTGTCTTGTTTCGTGGGAGGCGAGTTCTGATTTTTAGTCTGTGACGTCATATGAAGAGCATCGGTTAATTCCCATTTCATAACTGTTTTCTCACTGCCCTTTGATCTCCACGCTCTTGATCGTGCCTATTTGATTTTTGCGAGGACACACAAACGGACATACAAACGGACACACAAAGTTAGCGCTTTATATATATATATATATATATATATATATATATAGAGGATAACACAGAATCGAACGGGGTTCTTCACCATGCACAAAACCGAACAAGGTCTATCATAAGTTTTTGAGTAATAATATAATACAAAATTAATCTAAACAACACGAGAATAATGGCACTTCACTTTTATAGAAAGCCCTTCATCTGAAGCACCAATGCTTCAGAGAACATGGTCGCACACTCCGAAGATTATATTGCTAGGGTAGATTGCACTATGTATTGCAAATAAGGGCATCCTACGAACTTCTTATATGTCCCAAATCTAAATGTATGTAGAGCGAAGAAAAGTCAGAAAGGGGCTACACAGAGATAAAGGAAGATTATAAATATATACGACAGAATAATTCTGTTAGAAAGGACCTTCTGCTCGAAATGGAGCAAATCGTTAAAAAATCGCTCATCCTCACGATAATGACCGGCGCGGACGAGCTAGGTTACATTCCAATGCACTATTAGATGAGGCAACAGATGATTGAGGCAGAATGGCTATTCATTTCGGCACATTTCCCTATTGCCCAAAGCTCGCAATCTATTAATGTAGAAGAAAGAACTATAAGTGTCAGTTACGTAAATAATTTAGAAAGGAATACCAATTCGTTATTTACGAGAAAGCTATTTCGTTCGATAACATACCACCAAACACCACGATATGGGAATCTATGATGTAAGCGATCTCGCAAGAAAGCTGCCGCTCCGCAAAGCCCCGTAAGGAGTTCCGCGAAGTTTCCGGTAGCGAGCGTCGCTTGCATTTGCACGGTAGCGCTGATTATTTCCTAGAATGCTGGGCGGTCCCTGAGATTGACTCACAATAGTGTGATTTAGACACAACGAAAAAAGTGCTTAAGGAGAGTCGAGTGGTAAGGCCCAAAATATAATCAAGGGTATAAGGCTGATTCTAGATAACTACTACTGGAATAGAAAATAATAGAAACCCTACGCAAAAGCAATCATAACCAACAGATAATAGAGCATAATCGCCCGACGATACTAAATATGAAGCTTGCGTTCGGCTGGAAGTTGTCCCATAGTGTCTGATCACATCATGTGGTCGGAGGCTATCGCAGTGCACCAAATGATCTTCGCAAGGTGTGATGTACGGAGAGCATGCAATCCAAAATGGTGTAAAACCATATTGGGTAACTCCCACAGAACAGAGTGAGAAGTGTATCAATCAGTCAATCAAAAAACCATTATTCAAATGACGACCTAGTGACCCAGCTAAAAGGGAAGATTAGTGCAAAGTGATATGTCGAGTGTATGTTTGGCCACGCTAATAAACTCAACGGGGCTAATAAGGCCGATCATCTACGATTCCAATACAGCAGCGAGTGTATGTTCTGCTATAGGATCAACCATTCTATGCTGAGCTGTAGATCGATAACGGATCAAAGCGTCGTCGGAAAATCCTCAAACATGAAAAGTGAAACTGGAAGTGCTGCTTCGCAGATCACAACAGCTTTCTCTGCCAAGGAGCAGTTTGTCTCCGATATGGTAAAAACACCGCGTTCACATCCGTCGAGAAGGACGATAACATGACGAAGGGACAAAACGTTAGAGGAAATCTGAGAAAATCAAGGGTTGGCCATGACACCCGTAATTCTACTCAATGGTGTCATAGGAGCGAGCCAATCACACTAATCCAACTAGCGATGTAAGCCAATTACGATCAAAAAGAACCAGTATGGAATCGCCGAGAGCAGGAAATTTTCTTATGTCAACGCTCGTATGGAGAAAAAACTAAATCATGCCAAAAGCAATGTTGCTAACGTCGCAGCTTGTGTTTATGATTGCTAGAGAAAATTAATGGAATTGCAGGAGGCAGAAGAGAGGTACTCCTGCTTGCTAGTAAATCCTAAAAGGCTCTCATAGAATAAAGAGTCGCTGAACAATTTGTTTATCCTGAGTCCACAACTGAAATATGCACAATGTCGTGTATTGAAGGACATATAGACAGTTTCGAGAGTCACACAGCGACTGCAATATTAGGTGCGTGACATTGAGAATAACTCGGCACGAGGATTAAAACAAATCCACTACTTATCAATGAAAATCCAAGCATTTGATTAATTAGCGTGGGTGAGGAATCGATTGAAATTTGCATTCACACTACCCATGGTAAACGAAAAAATCACTAGGGTACTTGGAAGCTTTAGGTTACCTTCAGGACTGCAATTGATTTTCAGAAGACAAATAGCACAGCCACTGCCTCACCTAAGAAAAAGGGGAGGTCGGATCTAAACTCATAGTTATAACGGCTCTCATATGCCTTGGCCCCAGACCTTTATAAAAAGTGCTAATTAGCCTTGCAAGTCGTTTTGTGTGCCGGTCCACAAAAGTTACGAAGGCACGATGAGGAATGTGAAGCTCCTGGTGAGCGTGAGGAGAAAGGTGTTATTAAATGGAAAGTCTACTGGTACTGTTAATGCTGATTCCTTTGATTCGTAACACTATTCAGATCAATTTGGAACGTCATTAACCAAAGATCATGGCTTCCTTCCTTTTTGTCGCGAGGGTAGCCTGATTTCTTTCCTTTTACTTGTTCTATTCAATCATAGTACGGCGGAGTCTTCAGAAAAGCGACGAGTTAGGGTTAAAAAAGACTTGTAATTTGTATGGTTTGGCATAATGCCTCGTGAGCACTCTGCTGGCTGTTTTTCATTATACTCAGATGTGCTTTAGTTGAATTTGAGGGACGTTTCGGAATAATTTTCAGAAAGCCACGCTCTTGAACCCTTCACTTTTACAATGACCACTCTATGAGTCATTTCCAGGCAGGAATTCAAGTGCAGTTTTGGGTGAAGCACTCTAAGCATATTCGCATCTACTACTTTGCGAGATGCGAAGCATGAAAAAATTTTCTATGTTCTAATATAATGATATGTTCTGATACGATGGTGATGAATAGTTGTGGACAAGTGATGCACGCATTAGCGTGCGTCGCCTAATCTGATGATTTCTTAATTAAGAAACTCAAAAATTCCAGATCTAATGACAAATAATGTCTAAAGCGTCTATCAGGCACAAGACATCCCGGTGCTTTTATCCAAAAGCTGTGAAATACACCCTGCAGCAAAGATTTCACTCCAAAACTTGTACGGTAAAAATTCTCGGTGTTCTCTTCAGTCATAAGTTTCATGTTCACCAATAATAGAAGGAAAAGCTATAGCGACGTCGTCGCTATAGCTTTTCCTTCTGTCAACTCTGCATGGAAACTTATAAAAAATACAACGCACCCACTGTTCTCAAGCACACAAACTTGCGAAGAGCAGCAGAGTCACGCCGAGACCAAGTCTTTTCGTCCAGATGAACAAGTTTAACACCGCTTTTCTGTAGTTGCTCAGCCATGAATTCGTCCTCTTTCCTGAAAAGGCTCGCAGAGAAGTTACAAGTTACTCCTTGCAGAATAAGTGTTTACAGTAGACAAGTCAACCAGATACCCAGAAATTGTAACGAGAATGAAGCATACCTCAGGGGCGCCAAGTGAAAATGAAGCACAACAGTCGCACCACGATCTTCTTCACCAAGGAGCTGTTGAGCGACATGTAAAGCCAGCTTCGCATCAGGTACTCCTTCTAGTTCTCTAGTTTCACCGAATGATGCCAATAACTCTTCTCTACCAGTGTAATGTCCTATATCAATGGTGATTTCTGCTGTAGCACCGTAAATCAGCTTTCCAATCCTTGGACTGTCTCTGTGAGGTAAACTGCTGATGAACGATTTGAGCAATTTCTCAATCTTAGCAAGATAAATTGCGCTCTGTTGGGAAGTCTCAACAATGAACAACAAGGTTTCCGTTGGAGGATCTGTTGAAGAACAATAAAATTTGTCAGGAGTAGATGTGACTCTATCACCCTGATCAGATGGAACAAAGATGAAATTTCCTGTGTCATCAGTGGGTAGAACTTGTCCGTCTGGTCCGAGAGGA